CTCTGAGCATGCTATAAGCATGAAAGTAGCGCTATATAAAAGCTATACTAATAATGTGTTGGATGTAGATTCAGGCTTGAAGATAAGCCTTAGTACTATTACATGTGCAGTGCAACATAGATAATATTGTGAATCACTGGAACCTACTCACTTTGTAGGCAATACTCCTAAATAGATGAAAAGTCGATTACAATGGAGTTTAGCTAGAAGAAATGGAGAAACATTTTTTTTTAGATTTCTTAGAGGTTGATATTACCTTGACTCATCAAGGCTTTATTGTATATTAAAAAAAGGGACAAGGAAATTCATTGCTAAAACATTTGGTTGCAAAATAAGCAATTAAATTTAACATTTATATTTAAATTCATAAAAAATTAGCTGATCACTTAATATCCTAATTTATCATTAACTACAGAAACTTAAGACTTTCCAGATTTTATGTTAACCTTTTTAAGAATCAAATGTTTGAAATATTTGTTTCTCTTTTCTGTCTTTCTTTACATCACTATTAACTAGGACATGTTTTACTGTACTTATGGAAGTGCAACAGATCCCTTACACAAATTTAAAGTGTTAAGGCTTCCGCGCGGTGTTGATTTTTGGAAATATATCTATTGTAGATCTACGTCTGACTGAAAGTAATGCTGAACTCAAACTACTTCAGTAACACCGGCGAATGGCTGAAACAATCAAAATATGTAGTTGACGCTGATGTTGTTCTCCAAATATATTTAATAATCAAGAAGGGAATCGTCCGATGTCAGCTATGTCCATAAATCCGTATATCTATTCTACTGCTCTATACGAAGCGTCTTCCTTTTAGCGTCACTTAGAGCGTTCTTCTTTTTTAACCAACTTTACGTCATCGTCGCTAAGTATAACTTTACCCTATTCCTGAAACAAATAACTAATTCCTAATCATGTCATAACAAAAGGTAACATATTTTACATAATAAGAATTTATCTTGCTTGTACAAATATTTTTGCTTTTATCTCAGATCGACCATCCATCTTTGATGTTGCCTGTCCGAAGCAGCATTCCTCCTGCCCATAAGCTTCAGCTGGACAACACAAAGTCCAAGACAGGATCTACTGGTGACATAGTTGATTCGCCCTCTCAAAATGAATCAACAGAAAAAGTAAGTTAATGACTTTGCTTCATTCTCAGTCGGAAACTACTAAAAAATATTCTCAGAAATGTTTCAAATATTTTAACCTGAAATATTTTATCATTGATATGTCAGAAAAGGAGAAAAGAAAAAAAAATTTCTAGAGCATGATAAAAACATTGGATTTATTTTGTCTTACTAAGTTAATGTTCTTTGTTTGATGAAATCTTCTTAGCGTTGCCTATTGTTAAGCTCAATCCTTGGCAAATCTTTCTTGCACAGTACCTTCATTTCATGAGAAAGCTTCTTATAGCACATATAAAGTTAAAAATCCTATAAGCATCGTTCAGATAAGTCATTGAGATAGCTGTATCCAACTTGTAAAACGTATTCTGCAATACACAGATGCTCATAGGTTGTTTTTTTTAAATATGATTCAGTTCTGATCTTTTTGTTTTCTCTTTCATTCCAATCAGTCCATTGTTTACACATCCTCTGTTGGCAATCTCAAGAAAACTGTGTTCAATTCGGCTGCAACACCACCTACACCACCAAAAGCAAAACCTTCATTTGTGAGTCCTACAGCAGTCAAGACAGCTGACTATGTCTCCAGAATGGAAGCAATCAAGAGGATTGAGGAAGATAAGAAAGTTAGTTCATTACTTTCAGATAAAAATTTTAATGAATATCTATTTCCAATTAGATACCTTTTTTTTTTTCAGAAAAAAAAAAGGGGCTTTCTTTTTTTCTTTAGTAAATGGTATTTCAGATTAATGATTCTAAACATTGTGTAATGCACAAATTTTATAGCAAATTTCCTAATAAAGATTATTATTATTATTTATTTATTTGTAATATGAAACCTGAATGAACGAACTTAGAAAACTGATCTCTAAATAAGAAAAAAAATTAATTCTAACTTTTCAAACAAAGCTGAACTAGTTTCCTCAATTTTTATTTAACTTAAACGTTGTTTGTTTTGTGTATTATCCAGCAGGCAACAGTGAAACTGGCAGAGCTGGAACTCAAGAAACAGGATCTCCTGGCCAAACAAATAGAGCAGCAAAAAGTAAGTGTTCACTTTCATTCTAACATTTCTGTGAACTTTCTTGTCTCCATGGTCCTTTCTTTATGTCTACATTTGTGATACCATTTCATTTGAAATGTGCCTAACAAAAATGTTTACTTGCTATAGATTCTGGTGGAAACTTTAGAGAAAAAGAAAGTGACTCTATCAGAAGAAGAAAAGAAAAGTTTGCTGAAAGTAAGTTACACAGCAGTTGTATCTCAGAAACAATAACATTGTACTAAAACCTCAACTCTGTTATGCTAACGGCTCTATCTTTTAGTGAATATTTATCAATGTAATCAAAGAGTGTCATGCAAACAGTCATATGTGAATTTGTATCTAAATATATTGTTCCTTCTGTCTTGGATCAATGGTTTTTGGTCTTTTCTTGAATTTGGGCAGAATCTGCTGTGGCTAAACAAGCAATTCTGGAGTGGCAAACTTTGCTGCAGTTCATGTCTGAGAATGCATCTTGAAATCTCTTACGTAACAATAATTTTTTTATTATGTTTGCTAATGTTATTGTTAATTTTCCCAGACTCTGAAAACCATCTCCGATGCCATCGACAAAGTGAAGTATGGCATTGGCTCCAAGAAGACGAATGCCCTTGTATTCCAGGCACCCAACCACACCCACTTTAAATATGTTAGTAATCAAGAACAGGTGGTAAGATCCCTTCATTGCGCTGCTGGTGAAGGGCTCGTCAGTCTTGTGTTTCACCATTTATTAAATAGTTTAGTATTGATTATAAGTTTGTTTTAAGTAGCCCCAGTAATAGTAATTTATGCTCACCATTATTCTGGCTTTGTCATCGATATGGACAGGTTTCTAATAGCTAGACAATTTTTTAATTCTCTGATGGAAAATTTCTGTTTAGCTTTGTTCAAATAAAGACCTTTTAAAAATTGTTGAGGTTGTAACACAATTCAAATGTGTAGTTAAATTTTTTTCAATCTATCTATATAAAATAGTCAGTAATTTCTCTTTGGGTGACAAAGGTTTGAATAATCTAAAATCATTTCAGAGTGTGATGTCTTTACTGCAACTTTTGATCCTAAGTTCAAATGAAACCTTTTCTCTTAAGTTTAGAAAATCAATTTATCCAACAATATACTCCCAATAGTGTATGACTTTAAACTCAAGTGTTAGGTAGTAATAAGTCTAATTTTTTTATAAACATCTTACAGTTGAATGTAATGTTCATGTTTTTTAAAGTTTCAGCAAGCCGCTGTCAATCCTGCTCCTGTTGCGTTTGGGAGAGGTCGTGGTTGGTCGACTGGCAGAGGTGGTAGCATGATGCACCGTGGACGAGGTCGTGGACACACTTATCTGGACAACAGACCAAAGACGGTTGAGGTCAAGGGATTTGACCTGTCTGAATTGGATGAAATTAAATCTTATTTTTTGGTGAGTTTTAAATTTTAGTATAAAATCTAATTTAAAAGTGTTAATTTATAACCACTCACTACTTTTTATCTGTAAGCCAAAAAAAAAAAGTTAAAATGTGATTATTGTAACTTTTTAAAAACTGACTTTGTGCTAAATATTTGTTTAAATTTCAGAAATTTGGTGCGATTGATAAAGAAGAATTGGTTGAGGAGGTCCCTAGTGTCTTTTATACCTATGCTCAACGTATTTCTGCTGAGCTGGTAAGAAACTTTTCCCAAATATAGTCAAAGCTCAATTTTATCTAGAACATATGTATTCATCTTAAAAACAAAATACTGATTGTTTATACAATTGTTTGGTAACATACAGTTAGCATAGTGGCATATAGTTCTCAACTATAGTCTGGTCTTGTATCTATGTACATTTTCATTTGGTCTGATGATTTTACACTTCTTCTCAACATTATTTTATTCAATTTACAATCAAAACTATTGGACCCAGTCCTAAAAATTAAAACCCAGCGTGGTCCAATTAACTGGATTAGACTGTAAAATTTTAATACTTGACAGTATTTCATCCTATCATATGTAACTTCAACCAATACTTTTTGTAATAGTTATCAGAATTTTCAGTTTCTCCGCTTTTGTTTTTTGTATTTTCTGTTACCTTTGCTTACACATTTCTTATTCTAAGATGTAATGTTAATTCTTACTGGCCAGGCTGTTGCACAAGGTGGAAAGTTTAGAAAGAAGCCACTCATTGTTCGCTGGAATCAAATAACTCCAAAGATCAGCAGAACAGAGTCCACGCAGAGTTCCGAAGTGGATGACGATGTATGTCATTTTTGTTTACACAACATTTAGACACGTTTTTTTATTTTCATTATAGGACTACTTATAATAATAAAGTAATTCATTTGTCAATATTTCAGTTGTCGGTAACATTAGGATCCCTGGATGAAGATGTCTTGATAGATGTAAACAGCGCTACCAAAACTGCAGCAAACTTGAAGGATAATGTTACACAGCGCCCTCAAGAAGAGGGAGAAGACTCTCGCATGTTTGTCGAGAGCAATAAAGATGAGTTAAAACCCTCAGACAGCAAGCCAGCTCTGATTGAGCGCAGCCTGAGTGAAGACTTGCTGGCAGCGGATGAGGAACACTTTAAAGCCAGCTACTCGGACGATGATGATGATGAAGACCATATAACCGTCACTTTGTCCAGCACAGCAACTACAGCACCCACCATTTACACAAGTGGAGGCAGCTACAACAACGACGGCGCAATGGAACCGGATGAGTTGCATGAACTGGAGGAGGAACTAGATGTCGCAAATACAAACATTGACTTTTTAGAAGATGGCTCGTGGAACTGATGAAAAATGATACCCTAGTGTTTGTTTTAACAAATTCTGTTATGAAATTGACTGGAATTGTTTTTTTGTTTTTAATTATGAGTCCTCTACATTCTACACTTTTTTATTTCTCTGCTGTGATGTTAACTATTTTTTCATGTTAGTATTCATCATTAAGACTGTAGCAATGTAAATAAATGACAAAGGTTGTAGTTCTTGCAAACAATGCTGTCATGTTATGTGTCTGATTGTTATATGCAATCAGCAGCCAACTCACAATAGAAAGTTTGTCTTTAAATTTCACTTTTTTCAATGTTGTTTCCTTGAGAGCACAATCATTTTTGTTTCCAGAATAAATGTTTGACTGTATGGGTGCAACCAATGTTAGAAATAATGGAACCCAATGTCTCCATAGTTATAGTGTATATTTGTTTAAATTTTCATTTAAACAAAAAAAGATGACTGTCTTGTGTGCTATGTGCCCTGGACTGTCAATAAGATGGTCCCAGGTTTGAACTCTATTCACTGCCATCCCCCCCTCTCCCCCATTGTCCTAAGTGAGGTTCAGGCTAGGATGTAATAATTGTCAAATATGATGGAACATTTGAAACATATAAAACAATGTTAGTTCCTTGTTTGTTTTCAATTCTAAAGTGCAGAAGACAAGGGAAGGTAACAAAAGTTAATCTTTCTGTTTGAGTTCACTTCCTAGTATGAAATTTGTATTAATTTTGTCTCATGAACTACTTTATCACTACAAAGAATGAAAACAAATGTAATCACTGTTGTGAACATGTTGAACTTTCTAGTTGAAAACATTCTTAATAACAAATAACATGCATTTTTGTCTCCCTTCTCATAAATGTGTATTGTCCTGTTTGCATTCTAATGTCGTAAACCTTGAGAATGTATAAAACTGTATTTCTCATCAGGCCAATGGTGCAGTCTATAAGAATATCAGTGGCTTGGATGGTAGATGGCATTTGTTAGTGTTCACACATTGCTTTCAGTCTAGAAATAAATTTGACAAGATTTTGTTGTTAGTTTACTTACTTTATTGTTGTTTTACATTTTATAGAAAACAAACAAAAAGAAAAAAAAATGCATTAAAAAAAAAAAAAAAAAAAAAAAAAGATATTTAAAAAATTTTTAAAAAAAAATCTTTAAAAGGATTTACAAAAAGAAAAAAAAAAAGATATTTAAAGGATTAAAAAAAAAAAAGATGCAGAAAAAAAAAATATTTTAAATGATTGGAATGACTGAAAATTATTTATTTGCTTTTCTGTCACAAAAACATTTTACATTTATGTTTACCTGAGATCTGAATGTCTTTACAATGGCATTCTTTCAGGACAAACAAATAATGTCAACTGCACTTGCAGGCAACGTTTACAATTTGTTGCAAGAACTCCTGATTCCTGCCTTTTTATGCAATGATGAGCATTTAACTTCCCATCTTACCTTATTACTAACTGCTGGGACAGAACTCTACAACACATTTTTGTTTTATTGTTACAACTTGATTGTAAGAACATTTATATGGGAAAGAATCAACATGATGGCAGTAAAGTCCTTTAACTTCTGGACCAAAAGGTTTCATGTTAGCATCATTCTGATGGTTACAAGATTTATTTAATATAATTCGATTGTCTGAAATGCTAACACAAAACCCAAAATGATTAGTACTGCACTAGAAACACGCAATATATTTATACATCTCTGTACATATGCTAAAGAAGACATAGTTTCTTCAGTTTAAATTTTTTTATATATATATTTTTTTTTTTTTTTTTACTAGTTCTGAAAGGAAAAACTAACATGTTTCTGATTTCAGAATGTATGAGACAAGTTTGATAGCATAGAGATTTCTCATGTAAGACTAAGTATACTTTTATTTCAATGTCTACAGAGTCTGCAAGATGGCTATCAAGTGCTGATGCTGTTTTTTTCATTTAGACCTTATCAGGTGATAGAAATGGCTTGAACAGAAAGTCATGATAGAAAGTAATCTGCAGTTGATTGGTTTTCATTTGAGAGCAAACTAATACTGATGTCTTTTACATTTTATCATTAACACCAAGCTTTCTCTTACACCTTGGCTTATACACATTTTATCCACTTCCTTCATAAACACTAAGCTTTTCTCTTACACCTTGGCTTGTACACATTTTATCCATTCTTTCTCTTACACACATCACAATCAATTGAATGAATATGTAAGCAATCAATGTATTGCACTATGTCACCTCCATGAGCATGATATAACAGCCAGAGATGGCTTGGTATAAATGGATATTTTTTGGCATGAATAAGAATTTTGGCTGTTATATCAAGTGAGAATGAATGGAGAAAGGGGGTGATAAAGTTATGCAGGCGTGGATGGAGAAAGGATTGTTGCTGTTATGTAGGCATAGAAAAAGGATTGTTGCTGTTATGTAGGCATAGAGAAAGGATTGTTGCTGTTATCAAGTATAATGTCCCTGTATTTTTCAACTCCTGAACAGGCAGACTCTAAGATCTGCAGTTTAATAGTTGAGACTTCATCCTCTGATGAGGCATTAGAGTTGGCCAGAAGATCATTGCCTTTGGAAACAGTGATTCTGATTTTACTGCCCTGGTTAATGAGTTGTCTCTCGTGGGCCATAGCCAGCTGTGTAACCACCCGTCTTTCGACCTGTTGAAAATTTAATTATTTCCTTAAAAATAAAAAAAAATAAAAGCTTAGATTGGAATTAAGTAAATTAAATAGCTATAGATGTAATTCTAGTTAGCTGTAAACTAAATAGCTATAGATGTAATTCTAGTTAGCTCTTAGTGACAACATGGAACTGTATAGGTTAGATTTTTTAAAAATTATATAAATGCCTAAATCTATATCAGGTAATCATGGGTAATGAAGGAACTATTTTAAAAAAGTACAAGCAAAGTGGTCATATAGTTAATAGTTGAAGAGCTTACAAAGGCTGCAGGGCACACATTTGAGATATAATAGAAAAGCCACTATTGAAGAAAGGCACAGAAGATGCACGAGATGCAGAAAAATATGCAGGTAATCATGTGAAGCACTGAATTCATCCTTAATGTTCAGAATCGAAGACATTGCCATTAAATAGCCAATGCCAACTGCATTCACGAAATTCAACAAATGTAAAAACCATTAATTTTGTGTTAAATACCTCATATTTGATAGATCTTGCTCCGTAGTGTGTATCAAAGCCTTCAGCCAGTGTGTCAACAACCCTGTGATCCCACAGCAGTTCAATGTTGTGTTTCTTTTTTGCCTGTGAAATATGCAGAAAAATGTTCAGCCCATTCTTTCACAAACATACTGCACTGATTCTCATTTGAGGCTTACTTCTACCTGAAATAGATCTGTTTATGCAGGTACCAGTTAGATCTAATGCTCAATAATAATAGTTCATAATACCAGCACCATTTATTTTAAGTCTAGAAACAGTAGGGATTTGGTTACACTGTCACAGGTGAGAATCTTTATTAATCCTAATGGAATTTTTTTTCTTTTCTAAATTAATGTGCTATAGATAGGTGTTACACTGCAATACTTATTTAACAGATGACTTTAAAAAAAATAAATACTTCAAAGTAAACTTGTAAACAAATAATTGATTTCAACAAGGCAAGGCCTATAATTAAATATTGAACATTGTATCTTGTATAACAGGATCAAGGGCTGCTATGCATCATGATCCACTTGCAGGGGTGATCCAACAGAATGCTCTGCCATACATCCTCTGCCAATTCAGTTGCAGGAGGGACTACACTATTAAATAGTGAGGTTTGAATTTACAGGTGTATTGCTGTACTAGAATATTGAGCTCATCTGCTCAAATCTCCAGTTTTGGGAGCACTAAGTGTTAATATTTGATATGCAAGTTATAGTCATTAGTCATTGTGAGTTATGCGTCTTTTGTTGTGAACATGTCCTTCCTGCCTAAGATGGCGTCCTGTGTTGATGATTAAAAGTGTTCGGCCCAACTACGACAATAGTTGCCTTAATTCTTCAGGACATACTTAACATGGTGGCTGCAGAAAGTGAACCACGTAAGTGCTTTCACTCTCACTAGAAGTAGAAGATTATACGTCAAGGGAGAGATTAATGATAAATTGAGAGCCATATCGGTCTGTCTACCACCAAGGTCACGCACGTTTTGGCCTATCAAGGGAGGCAACCAAGAGAATAATACATCAGACAGTAGAGACAGTTACACAAGATGTCGGAAAATCTACTGACGCCCCCCCCATTGCCTGGAACTAACGGAAGGAAATGTTAGCGAAAATTTCAGACGGTGGAGGCGGCAGATGGAAATATATCTGCAGGCGACGGGGGCCTACGGAAGGCCCAAAAGCCAACAGAAGGCCATCATACTACATTGTGCCGGCCCACAGGCCATCGAAGTCAGTGACCAATTCACATACCAGGAAGGGGAGGACGAGGGTGACCCGGAGACATTATTGAAAAAGCTACACGGCTACTGCAACCCAAGAGACAACGAAGTGTTAAAAACGTTTCGCTTTTGGAAACTACCCGTCTGCTCCCCATTTGAAACCTACCTAGCGAAGCTAAAGTCCCAGGCAAACAAATGCAATTTTAAGGAGCCAGACAGGATGATCCGGGACAAAATAGTGTTCTCCACAGACAGAAAAGTGCAGGAAAAACTCCTAGCATGCCCAGAGCTGTCCCTGACAAGAACAATTGAGATTAGCAGAGCCTTCGAACAGTCAACGACCAGTGTTGAGGAAATACGAGCTGAAGCTCAGGCCCAAGTTGACAAAATGGAAAGAACAACACAAAAAGCTACAGCTACACCCTTAGAGTGTCGATTCTGTGGACGACACCACGCGTTCAATAAAACAGCATGCCCAGCTTGGGGACAGACATGCAAGCGATGTGGGGAATGAAACCACTTCACAAGAAAGTGTAACAGAGTAAAAGGAAGCACACTTGTACACAAGGCGTCAGGGTACGAGCCAGAGTGGCTAAATATAATAAATGCACTCAAGTCGACAAGAGACAGGCTCACGGCTGAATTCGTAGTGAATGGTCAAAGATTGAAATTCCAGTTAGACACAGGAGCCAACGTCAACATCATTTGTAAAAGATTTGTCAAGAGATGTCAAGCAGTGGAGACCACACAAACTCTATGAATGTGGACCAAAACATTTACTTCCAGAGTCCGGGAAACAATGATTGGCAGCCTGGCAAAATCATTATGAGAAACTGAGCGATCCTACACCGTGAAGGGAACAACGGGTGGTACCTACGTTAGGAACAGAGTGCATATCCGGCCCAGGAATGTCCCTTACTCAGACATCTTTTCAGATGACGAAACGGCAACCCATGAGGCACCACAAGATGCCTCATCCACAGACTTAACACTACACAATGCTTTAGAGTCCAGCGCTGGCCCTGATGGGAACCCACCCTTGGCTCACGGATCAGAGCCTAGCGTGAGAGTGAGAAGGAATGGGCGAACGAGAGCCACCCCTACGTGGCACAAGGACTATGACATGGGCAAGTGGTGACAACCCCTCAAGTTTTTTTTTTTTTCTTTTTTTTGCTAGATCTGTATAGCCTTCAATATTGATGTATATTATGTTCTACGTATATTATATGTTCTACTCATATTTATAATGTTGTGTACATACCAATGTTGTCTGTTGAAAATATTATCAGTGTATCGTAGTATCATGTCACTGTATGTGAAAAGGTTGTTGTCTACAATGTACCTCTGTTCGTGGTGAAAGAGGGATGTTAACTGTCATGTGTGTGTTTTGGGATGTTGTAGTGAACATGTTTCGTCGATAGAAAGGGAAGGATGTTAATATTTGATATGTAAGTTATAGTCCTTAGTCATTGTGAGTTATGCATCTTTTGTTGTGAAATGTCCTTCCTGCCTAAGATGGCGTCCGTGTTGATGATTAAAAGTGTTCAGCCCAACTACGACAATAGCTGCCTTAATTCTTCAGGACATACTTAACACTAAGTACTTGCCTTCCCTAGTCAGTAGAAACAGTTTTGCCAGGTTTAAAATTTAAGCCACACGAGCAGGTCAGGTGCAGTTTTCAGAGGCTATTTGAGACCCATGCTATTTAAGTATTTTATAGACAATAGGAAAATATCCCCATTAACACATTTGGCTATAACATCCTTTAAAACACTAAGACCAATAATAAATAGAAGTTACCTACCCTGACAGCCCAAAACTGCAATTCCTTGTTGACAAGTTTAGTCAGCTCGGATTGAGAAAAGGGTAAAAAGTAAACAATTTCATTGATTCTACCCAGGAACTCATCACGGCGAAACTTTCTCTGCAGGGAACAAAATATCTATAGGTAGACTATAGTTATTTTACCATAATGACAATTTAACATGTTTCAAGCATATTAGTTTCAGCATATTTCCAACCTGTCAGATGACATTTGACTTGATAATCTTATGGTTATGGGACCAGAGGGGCAGCTTACAGACAATGTTGGATAACCAAAGGTTAGTTTTATAGGTACTTCAGAAATTCTATTTATGATTTAATAAGATATTCTCTATGGGCCTAGAGGGAGATTCTGTCAAAGTCAAAAGACATTGGAATGGAGAAGGACAGTAAAAAAAAATCTTGTATGGTGCCCCAATAGACTAAGGGATAGGTGAAGATGAAGATAGTGTCTTTGAGTTTCAATAGTAAGGCATAGACCTAAAATAAACAAAATAGAAACATACACATACAGTACATAAATTACAATTTAAGCATTTCTACATTCTAAAATATATGTCAGCACTGGGTCGGATTACTGAGTGTGTCAGACTATATATTTAGGTACAACTTTTCTTTTTTTCAAATTGCCAGTAACGGTATATAATTTTTCAATTTTTTCAAATATTTTACTTAGATTTTGGTCATCAACCCTGTTTCTCTGAAGAAATTCAGCACTTTATTAGGGTCCTCACAGAATGTTATGGTGAGGCTATTAGCAGTAAAACATTTTTTTCAGACAGCCTGGTATCTGAAGCAACTAAGGATATGAACATAACTGACATCAAAGTGACCCTTTTTTTTCCCCATAAGAGAACAACAATGAAGCAAATTGACATTAATTAGGCTTGGATTAATGGAATTATCTGAATTGAATTGTTTACCTTAAGTATTGGCCTGACCACCTGATCTTTGAAATTTTTTGATATAGTCACTTTTTCTGTTTGCTCCAAATCCTCTGAAAGTAAATGGAACAAAATGATTGATACCGGTATATAAATGTACACATCAAATATATTTGTATTGCTCTGCTGGGCAAGGCAATGACAGAGGAATACAGAATCTAAATAGCACTGAATTTATAACTCCCTAACCCCTACCCACCTCTTCCCTTTGCATTAATCTCATTAACCTCACTCTTATCCACTACTATCCTCCCCCACCC